TTCGTTAAGTAGATATTAATAAAAACAAACCGACCAATCAGAGCGCGCGGATACCGTTGGAGCGGCCGCGGTAGCGAACGAGAGCGGCTACCTAGCGCGTAGCCACGCCTACCGCGGTCGCTCCAACGGTATCCGCGCGCTCTGATTGGTCAGTGTTTTCCGTTAATATCTCCTCAACGAAGCCTCGGACAACATTTTCGCTAAGGAGAAAGTTGTTTCAAATCATCCCCTGAACCACCATTTTCAAGGACCTCCAACATTTTTGGGACACCCTGTATTCGCTGAATCAATCTTGAAAAAATATCAGCTTACAGGAGATGATGACTTACTTTCGAAAGTAAAAATTGAAAAGTTTGTTCGTTGCAAAAATTGAATTTCAGGAAAACGATATTCATTTTCAGCATCCTGAACCGGGCTCTTCCCATAATTCATTCGTCTTTAAACTTCTGCATTTCAAAGTGTTTAAATAAAGCTGGCCCTGCAACGTACAAATAACGCCCCAACGAGGAACTAAAATTGCCCGAAAACAATCGTGGCGAAAATGAATTAGCCCGTTTCGTCGGCGCTATCATCGTTACGTAACGCACTATTTTTATTTATTCGGCGAAGAGGTTGCGGTATCGCATCTACACGTGCGGCGCGAAGCTTCCGATTGATGAAGAAGCTTCGACACGTCGTGAGATTACACCACTCGTGAGTCACCCATGACACTCCACCAATCGGAAGATTTCGCGCCTCGCGTTGTACACGTGAAAATCATCGGCATGAACACGGGATGGCCGAGTACCACGGGTTCGCGTGCTCGCCTTCTTCAGGTTGACCTCCAACGACCGTAGGCGTCATGCGGTCGGCTTTAATAGAGCCGAAATCTCGCATTCCTTCTCGCGAGATTATCAGGCCCGGTTATCTTAATTTTCGTCAACGCTTGATTGTCTTATCCCGTATCGTCGATAGACTAGTTTATCGGCAGCTTTGCAACATTTTCGGATCGCTTCCAGGCTGCCACGTGCGTCTGAAGTACGCGCTCGTGATTCGTGAATGAAACTTTGCGCAGCAAATCTATGAATAGATGTTCGATCGTCGTCGAGATTATTATTTACGTTGTTGAAATTCCAAGTACAGCGTTGTCTCGAAATAAGCAAGGATTTTTAATCGCTATTTTTGTTTGTTTAGCAAAGAGGTTGCAATCGATCCAATTTAACCAATGGATTTTCACACGCGAGCACGCGAAATCTCCAACTGTGAAGCCACGTAAAGCGATGCTTCACAGTTAAAGAGACCGGGGGACTGCAGTACTATGATAAAGTATGGAAATTGACTCCGCGTTCGTGAAATACCCTTTGTTTGGTCGATACCGACTCGTACCTCGTTCTGAGATAAGTGTCGCGCCGTTCTCCGTCGCTCGCTAGACACACGAAAGGATCTTTATTCTTCGAACGGTAAAGAAACGTCCAATCTCTTTCGAAACGCGGAAGCCAGCTGTAAACAATCAATCTACGACACCCGATGGTTACACGACTTAACTGTTTTGGCTCCATGGTTTATTCCACTGTCTCATTCACCGTTTGACCCAGTCATAAACATTTCAGAAGCCAAACAGCGCCGAGCCGTCTACCTTCCAGGCATTCTTAATTCTTCTTCATGTTTACATCTGTCTTACAGGCTGAAGCAAATTTCGCGCGGCTAAAAACGGCGGTATCTTTTATTTCTTAATCTTGTATCATTGAAAAACGTGTATCGATATTTTTTAACGCGCACGTGCGATCGTACAAAATTTTCCTTGGTCTTCTAGTTCCCTTCAAAATGGCGGTATCTTTGTTTGTCAAGCTCGAATCACTGCGGAACGTGTGTCATCATTTTTGACACACGCACACGCAGAGAGAGAGAGAGAGAGAGAGAGAGAGAGAGAGAGAGAGAGAGAGAGCGGGGACGCGCGCGCGCGCGATTGTAAAAAATGTTCCTCAGCCCGTAAGATGTACGTAAACATATGCAAAGTGTTGTATCGTGCACAAGAGAATAAAAAAAAAGGCTCGCTTCTTTGCTGATTGAATCAATTGATTTTCATCGTGCGCTGATCGAAACTGGAATCAAAATGGATATTTTCCGAGGCAAAAGGAGAGCATTATCGCTATCGAATGCCATCATTGAAGAGAGAATGGGGAAGATGGAAATGCTACTGTGCGATTTACGATGCGAGGATACAATCTCGTACATGTTTTGAAGTGCACGTGTAGATCAGATATGCCTCATTTTAACGATTTTATATGTGGGCAGAACTTAAACGTTAGCCATGTAGTATCGGTACTGACATATAGCTGTTGGACCATAATACAAATGTTGGATACCGTACATGGCCATTTTAGACATTTGTTTTGTGGCTTTTTCTGTAAATTTCACGGTATTTGTTGAAATGTTTGTTACGATCGATGCTTTTGTTAAGATTTCAAGATTGTGAGCTCGCGTATGGCGCAACACTTTCGATTGGTGCTGAGGCATCGATGACGGGGCTTTTTACTAATTGGCCGATTGCGGTCTGCCAATCGAAAGACTTCCAGCCTCGAGGCAACCTTTCTGCTTTCCATGGTGTACACGTGGATTTCACGCCGCGCGCAATCCAACACGTGGCGTTCCCTCACGTGAACGATTCGATTAGCGATGCTCGTAAAAGCCTTTGTTCAATAACTTTGACGGAAATGTTTGTCACAATTATCCGTATCGCGTTGTTTTAATTAACCAATCGCAAATGGATTGCAATTCTTTAATGGAATTATACTAGGAACTCGGTGTTAATATAGATAGGCCAATCTACTAGTTTTATCTTGACAAATGTCGATTCGTTTATTACTTTTCGTGTTTGGATAACAATCGTGGAATTGTTCTATTTCGTTTTCGTGAGACGAATCAAGTAAATTAACTTCTCGAGGGACGAATTTTTAATGTTTTCTTTTTTTTTTTTTTTTTTTTACTCTAATTGAATACGCACAAGCCAAAGCAATTTTTGTCTATAAGTCGATTTGAACACACAAATATTCTCTCTCGTTTGAATATGGTGCCTGCTCTAATTGTACAAGGTATTATGATTGTTAAGCAATATCAATTTTAAAATAACAGTAAATGTACACATGCGTGGCTATATCCCTCGAGAGGTTAGTATCAATGAAAAAATGTATTATAATTGCTAATATTGTATATTCTAGGATAAATGGATAGGGATAAATGAAATCGATCCTCTAACAAATGAAATAACATTTCGAATAATTCTTCTGTCAAAAGTGCACATTGATCGTATCGTTAGGACGCCAGAATCGCGAAACGTTTTGTGGTTGTTAAATGCTTGGAGCACGTGACTGGCCAAAAAAGAAAAAAATGATTAAAGGGGTCGCGAGTTGCGCATCGCCGCTCCAAATGAATTGGACTTGGAACGAATGCTGAAAAAGTGACCCGGCGTCTGTGTCGCCGGAAGGTTAAAGTATTTCACGACCTTTGTCGGTGATAAGATTATTTGAAAATTGCGATTGTCTGTTCGAAACTGTGCAATATAGGACGTTACACAATTACAGAAACGTTGGGGAGGGTGGTTTGAGAAATCTTCTGTGTGGTTACACGGGGAAAGGGGAGAGGGTAAAAGATGGCAAAAATCGGTCAAATCGAAAAAAAAAGAAACCGACGAGGTGGAATGCGTATCGTGTACGCGGATAAGTTATCGTTCCGAAACCGTTGAACTTTCTGAACTACATATTTTAATTAAGACGCAGTAATTATGTGTTTGGACGATACGAAAGTTTGACGAATGTGTTTAGGAAATTAACGGCTCCCTATTAGTTGCGAAAACAAAACAAACTGGAAGACGATAAGGAGTTGAAAGTAAAAGATTGAATTTCAGCAATTTTATATATTCAGGCATTCAGACCTCGGAATTAAGGAAGGAAACTGTCGTAATTAGGGGGCCAAATATTAATCGTTTTTCGCGACTGTTGCTCATGTCCCGAGAAACATTTAATGCTTGGACTCCTAATGTTACTCCTTAACGCACAATTGAAAGTGAGAATGACGAGTAATAACGTGTACGATGATTGATGATTGCAGAGCTTCCGTGTCGGAAGCAGGAGACGAGACGAGGGAAGGTCCTCTGAAGAAGTACCATGTGGCGAAAACATTCGCTGATCGCCGGTACAAAGTCTCATCGGCGAGAACGTATTTCTACCTTAACGAAGCCTCCTGCGAACGTAACATGGACATCTTCATCAGATGTCTCGAATCTGTTGCAGGTGAGTACAGTTTTATCCGGGTAAATTTAACCCTTACGACTCCTAGCGGTACGCACGTGTCCCAGTGAATATTTCTGATCGCCTTTCACCAAATTGCAAGACTTATAGAAACGTGTGTGAAAAAAAAAAAATTAAAATCTTATTCTTATTATTTATTGAAATAATATTTGTCTTGACTCGTCTAAACGCAAAGGTTTGTCAGTTACATATCAGGACACCCTATACAGCTTAATTTCTGGTACCAGCTGTGTTTGAAAAATTAATAGTTGTCTTCAGGTCAGAACTTATGCAACGATCTAATGTAACTGAAAAGTGTGTGGTGTGCTCGACATCGTTTCGTACCTCAGCCGCCGGGTCGGAACAGTGAATTTGTAATTATCGTCGAGAAATGAAAAAGAACTAAAATTAATTTAAATTTAAGAGACCTAATAATCGTCTACAAGTAAATATAAGTTAATATAGATTGCTTTCTCGTTGGTCTAGACGAATTATTTGGGGTGCTAATCCAGAAAATTCATTAAGGGATGAAACGACATTGAAAGGCCAAACAGCAAGTGGAGGAATCATATTAGGAGTCCAAGTATTAAATGTTGTTTTCTTGGAATTTTTTCTATAGAGAGGAATTTATGGAACGTATAATATAATTTTCCTCCTTAAAGAAATAATCAAGAATATGTAAATACGTTGCAACTCGAAGTTAGAATTTTATCGATCCATAAACTAACAAAGGAACATTATTTCTATCTTATTGCTTTGTCTCGACGAGATGCGCATAACTTTAGCGAACGTGTCAAGGAAAGTTACGAATCTTTACTGAATTTCGTTCCATTTTTCTTTTTTTTTTTTTTATTACAACCAGTAAGCGGCGGTTAATTTCCTAAACTCATTCTTCGCTATTCTTTTTTATCATCGAGGAAAGTAATTACTGTGTATTAATTAAGATATGTAAATAAGCAGTTCAGAAAGTTCAAGACGCGTCAATTTATTTGTGTACGTAATCGCTCTGCTCTGTCCACTTTTATTTATTTTTTTGTTTTTAAACAAATCTTTAGTACACGAGCGCCAATAAATTAATAAGAACTGATTACGTTGTGAATCTGTAGCAATTAGGAATTTCTTTGCTTCTGTTTATTTGTAATTTTCGGAGAAGTTAAATTATACTACTGAAATTTTGTTCGTAGAGAAAAATTTGTTGTAACGTGGTTCTACCCTTCACGAATCTTCTTGATTAGCACCCCAATAATTCGTCCCTTAAACGAAATTATTTAATCTCCAGAAGATAACCACTGTATTCGATTTATATATTTATTTGAATACACTTCTTTACTTTGCAATGTATGCAAACAATTATTCGCTCGCGAAACTAGAGAACCATATCACACGGAGAATAAATAATTTTTCAATTCACAACGTGGAAAACGTTCGGTCCTATTATTTAGTTCCAAGAGTGTCAAACATATCCAAAGTTTGTATCACATTCGAACAGAAAAATTTCCATTCGGGAACCTCGACAGAGCAGAAAGTGCCGAACGATTAATAATCAACCAGTTTATGATTCGACAAGGCCACGATTTTGGAGGACAGCGTCACATAAATTTCACGTGTGTAGCCAAACATTATTAGTTCTCGAGATTAGCGCTTATCACTAGTAACGGTTTATCGCTCTTTCGTAAATCATTGTAATTTAAATTATTCGGTCTGGAGAACTGGATATCGACCGGCAATAATTATAATGCGGAAAGACGCGGGATTGAATGTTGCACGATGGGTATCATAAATATTCCGTATCTTGAGATTCTTGTTAAACATCGGGCAAAAAAACAATTTTATTGTTACTCATTATATCTCTATCGATAATATTTTCAAATAAGAAATACGCAAGTTTAATTTTTTAGTTTATGTTCGTACGACATTACATCAAAAATGTTTCCCTGTAATTTCGTCATATGTATATCAATTCTTGGGAATGGAATTGTTATGCATATCGAGGGATAGGCATACATTAATGGGATACGAGTCTTTGTTGGTGTATGGGAGCTCGCGTGTCCAAGATTAGTATCCACATATGTGCGTGAAACCACGTGAATCGCATTCTCGAATATTCTAAAGCAGGACCAAAACTGGACAGTAAAAGAGAAATTATGGCAACCGGTCTCTGCTAGCCCTAACGAGTAGTATTAAAATCACAATGCTAATTACTAACTATGAAACAAATTCTTACTACCGATAAATCAGACCGGTCACAATTTTCAGCGAACTAAAATTGTTTGCTCTAATTTTATAATTCGAAATTGAAGTTAGGCTGTAACGAGCTTGTAGAAAATTTAGAATGATCTCAATATCCAAGGATGTTTCACAGCCTATAATAAGCATGAAATATCTCTTTTCATTGATCTAGAAAGTAACTATAAGTTCAAGATAAATCTGTAGTCTTTTGCACACTTGAAGATCTCTTTTTCTCATTGCACATGTTTCGTACAATTAACCTGATTGCAAGGAATTTAGGAGCTGTAATTGCATCAGTGGCCCCAGAGTCAAGAACAAAATTTTTAGCTGGTAGACTTCTGAAATTTTGCAAGACAAGAACGCGCGAACGTATCTTCTATAAATATCTCCTCTAGGGAATCGTGTTTTCTGCTAACCGCCCAAATAACGTGACATAACGATGCTCGGGATCATGAAAGAAATTAGTAATTTATTTCAGTATTTATATCGAGCTATTTATCCCTGTTGGATTTTATTGTCTATGTAGAGTCCCTAATTTTTATATAGAATGTAAGGTGAAGTATATCATTCTTTGTCGCCTGATACAGTATTATAAATTCTTATGTCCTTTTACAGACGATGAAATTAAAACCTTGAACCTAAAATTTCCCACATTACCAATCACTACCAATTTCGATGTCGATCCCAAACCTGGTAAGACAAACAATACCTTTGTACACCTTGATCCTTCTCTGTTTTTTATTTTTTTTTTTTTTTTTCACGTCAAGACCAATTTTTCCTGTGTTACACAAGTTCCTCATTGAGTTGTCATAAATATTCTTCTAATTTTTTGCATTTGTTTTATAGGTGCTTCGATGGGAGTCGGCTTCACTGCCATTAAATTAACAGCCCTTGGTCGACCACAACTCCTAGTATGTAGTCATTTTTTGTGGTAGTTTTATATTACGTAGTATGTCAAGATATTCTGGAAATACACAAGTCATTGTTAGTAGTATAAAATGTAGAAACTAATAATGCCCAGACTGGTTACCTACCGATGATAAATATTCTAGAAAATGTTTCTACAGGCTATGATAAGAGAGAAATCAAGAGTGATAAAGTTGCGATCGAGTATACTCAGCAATTAATAACTCAGATTCAAAACCTCAAACGTAGCTTCATTTTAATTTAGCTTGTGGAATCTTCTCCTGAAATATTTACCATCAGTAGGTAGATACCTTGTACATGTCTTTCTAATTGAAGTTATAATTATATTATTCGAGCACATTTTATTTTCAGCTTCAATTGTCAGAAGTAATTATGCGAGCACGACAATACATGTCTGATGTTGTCGGTGGTGAAGGTGCCGTCTTGACTCATCACGCGAAACCAGATGATTTCATGAAAAAGTTTGAAGAGGCACACATTAAGGATGCAGCACCAGTACAAAAGTTTCTTCAAAAAATTCAGTCGGACAAAGAGGGGTAATTTATTGAGATCATCTTTGGCTAGTACTTTCCAATCAGGCTAGCTGACAACTAGGAGCACTGGCGACTCTCATACATCATGGAATGTGTTAGTAAACGAATTCTTCTGATTTCAGTGTTATCCATTTGTTCCCATGGAGTGGTATTCTGGATGAAAATTATGAACTCAGCGAAACGTTCCAAGTACCAGATATTAAAACGGGAAAGATGGTGAGGCTGATGTCACAGCTTACATCAAAGGAGGAAGAGATGTTCAGGAACATGATAAGACGCCTGAATAATATAGTCGCGGTACGGATATATAAAAATAAAATAAAAGAAGTATATTAGACATTGTCAATGTCAGTATTAGCGCTTTCTCGGACCCCTGATGAAGCATAGTTACATTGAACTCATTTTTCAAAAGGACACGGCTTACAACTGGAAGCCTCTAACAGTTTCATCTGGATTGTCAGTGCCTTCATGATGAAAAATATTAGATCTGTGTGAAAGTTTTGTCATTTTTCTCATTCACTTACGTCACTCTATAATCCATATAGTTCATAAAACTTCGTATTTTTCAACTGAATTACTTATTATTATTCAATTACTCCTCAACCCTAGATTATGGGATTTTCGTTTATTCTAGAATGTTGCATCTGATTGGTTCTTGGAATGTCATTCCTTTTCTGTTAACTATTGCAGAATTATAATCAACTTGTGACCAATGGTTTCACCTTTCTTTAACAGTTTCTTTAAACTGGATCTCTTCTGTCTCGCCATATGCAGATCGTATCTTTCTTTCAATGACTTTATCGCTCTTCATGTTGATTTTCTGGTTTACAATAATCGTTTCTCTTGATGTGTTATTGTACAATCTCCATTCTTCATTTCCAGTAACACTATGTGTATAGTGTAACAACTGCACCTCTTGTTCAGAAACAATAAACCAAGAAAACTCCCGTACCAATTAGGAGATTTTTCCGTTTATTAATTCGAACACTGCATATTGTAAAAGCGACAGAACTTTCCTACGGATTTAATATGATAAGACCATCTAGTTCGTTAGCAGAGACAGAATGGCTGGCTTCTGTTTCAGGTGGCTGATAAACTAAACGTGCGTATCATGATTGATGCCGAGCAAACATATTTCCAACCTGCGATTTCGCGATTGACGTTGGAAATGATGCGCAAGTACAATACAGATAAGGTAATGTTTTGTTTCGTAGATGCGACATTATCACTTAGTAAATTTTCAGTGAATGATTTCTGAATCCCAATGGTCTACTTCATAGGCTGTGGTATTTAATACCTACCAGACATACTTACAAGATGCTTATAACGAGGTGAAAACGGATCTCGAACAAGCCCAACGACAGAATTTCTACTTCGGCGCTAAACTTGTCCGTGGAGCTTACATCGAGCAGGTAATCTTCCATTCGATGAATTGCATTCTGGTTGCTGTACATTTATTACAAACTACGATTGTTTGTGTAGGAGAGAGCAAGAGCGGCAGCGATGGGTTATCCTGATCCAACGAATCCTTCCTACGAGGCTACAACCGAGTCCTATCATAAGACGCTTATGGAGTGCCTGAGGCGGATGAAACAGTACAAAGATAAAGGCGAGGATCCTAAGAAAATAGGAATTATGGTCGCCTCTCATAACGAAGATACAGTACGCTTCGCGATTGAGAAGTACGTGATCCTTAGTTAAGATTTATTCATTTCAGCTTTTTAGCTAAGAAATGGACTTGGTTGAAATCTACTGTCACTATTCAATTAATTTGAAACGATTTATAATATTTATGTTAATTTAGAATGAAGGAGATTGGAATCTCACCAGAAGACAAAGTAATCTGCTTCGGCCAATTGCTGGGAATGTGCGATTACATAACATTCCCATTAGGTATGTTATTTTTGGTATTTAAAGACATGATTGAGACTCCAGTGACGAGTTGAAGTATTCCTGAAAGTTTCACAGCTTTAATGATTGTATTGGTATATTTCAGGTCAATCCGGATATTCCGCATATAAATATATTCCCTATGGTCCAGTTAAAGAAGTATTACCGTATCTTTCTCGACGTGCACAAGAAAATCGAGGCATACTTAAGAAAATCCGAAAAGAGAAACGCCTTTTGTTATCTGAAATTGTAAGACGCTTTGTGCGCGGCCAGATATTTTATAAACCGAAGGGAAACTACACTCCCGTCTGAGCAGCCGATTGTTTCATTGCACAGACGAATTTTAAGTATCAAACTTAAGTAGTGATTGTAAATTATTAAAAGACTCTTGTGGTACGCAGAGCAACGCGCGCGCGTGTGTGCGAATGGAAGTATATGCAGTGTTATTCATTACACAAAGTTGCCTCAGTGTGACGTTATCAAGTGCAAACTGCTCAATATCGCACCATGTGGTAGAACTATGTTCATTGCTTCTTATGTCTGGTATAGAAAACCTATCAGTGAATTGCTTATGACTTTTATAAACAGAAAAGCACATTTTATGCTTTATTAGAAAACGCCATGTTCAATACGTTCATATTACGTTCACAATACAATAACGAACATGCACATTTTTGATAATTAAAAACTTTTATACCAAAACAGAAAGTATCGAAATTATCAAAATCATATTCACGACGAACTTTCACTTTTACTTTTGTTCCTCAGTATTCCCAAGACTTTACGAGGGTAATATTGAATTGCATTGATAAATTCTAAATGAAATTCTACCTAAAAATAGAACAAATACAGCCTTGTCTGAAACGTACTAGTTTTGTTATTATTTTATTTAAGAATCTCGTTGTGCACACGTGCACGATTATTTATAGTGGACATATTTAAATATTTTTTGACATACGTTCTTTAGTATTTTGTTGAAAAATATGATTTTCATATGAAGATAGGTAATTATATAAAGTCCATTATGTCCATAGCGAGCTGCATTTAATTAAGTGAAATACTCGTATGGAATGAACATTCAGCCCCACTTCCATGCTTTGTGCGTAGTTACCAAGAACGGATTTAACCAAAGTGATAGTATTGGCAAATACTAGAGAATGCAAGTCATAATAGAGTCTATTTGGTCCGAATGGAAGTGTTTGCACATAATTTAGAAAAAAAAAAAATGACTCTTATAAATTTTTAGTAAATGAATAAGATCTTTACAAAAATTGGGAACATTTTGTTAAAATTGTTTTATATAAGAGTCATTTTTTGTGTGTACAATTACTACGCATGTTGAAATAAAAAGTTGAGTAATCTTGGGCTGAAACAGTGATAAACTGCGAATTAGGAATTGAAAAAAGTACGTAATTGCGACACGTTATATAAGTTTTTAGTTCACGTTGCTTCAGCCTAAAGTTGCTTTTTCTTATCGGATAATAATAATCATAAATATACAATGCTGTTTAAACGATGCGCCCCAATGAATTAATATGGCTTATACACAGCTCTTTGTTACATTTTCTTTCAGAATTAAAACTAATTTTAAGAAAATTATCAAAGAACTTTTATAATTTATAAATAATAAATTGTTCTTTAGCTACGAGTTTTACGTACTGAACGACGAATCCTGTGTATTTTTGCTGAACTAGTATATTCATATTGTTTAAAAGGAAGAGTTACGAATAACATTTGTACAAACTGAATATTAACTCTTTTTTCCGCAATATTTCTGTATTTTTAATTTATGTATTGAAATGTAATTTTATGCATTGAGAATGCTACTTTTATTATTACTAGCAATGAAAATAATTCGACCTCTGGTGGATAATTTCCATGCAGTTGGATAACACTTCGATATTTTCTCGTCAGTATTTAAAAAGAAAATGAAAAAAGAAACAAAATAGAACGTCATTGTTCAACAGGATTTTCTTTCTATTAATTAATGTTTTAAAGTATAAATATACAATTTACATTTGTTGTAAACATCATTTGTTTATATAATACGTAAACGTACAATATTTTATGATCTCCTGTATTATAATACGATGTAATTGCATTCGGAATATGTATGTACTTTGTATTTGCTATTGTCAAAAGAAATATGTATTTTGTTCTATAGAACAGTCTTATCGTAAAGTTATGATTTTTATTGAGATTAAGTTAATCTCTGAATATCATGTTATTATACTTGCAACCTAAGAAGAAATTTAATCAATGAATAAAGGGGCATTGTTGAAGTTATACAGGCTATAGCTAAATGTTTTTATGTGGCTATTGGTATGTTGAATGTGAGTGATTTAGGTATAATTCTACTTGTTATATTTAGTGTTCGACTGTTACGTCGATACATTAATTAATTTCTACACGTCTCGTGATGATGACAATAATTTAGGTAGACAATGTTATAATCTTATACGCTATATGTATAAACTACATGCCATGATGGATTGCATTTGTCATCACCTATGAGGTTAAATTGATTTAAAAAAAAAAAAAAAAAAAAAAAAAAATGAAATGATACGAGATTAGTTAATAAAAACTAGTAGAAAGTGAATAAGTAATAAAGTATATTCGTACGAAATTGTACGAGTCAATATATGATTATACATAAAAAAAGAAAGCTACGTTCATTATTGCGAACGTGCATTTTACTGCCAGAATGAATTTATACAAGATACTTTCTTGACTAGACTATTATGACAATTATTTGCCTGTGTGTGAATAATATATTTATGATGAAAGTAGTACAATATGTTCAATATGTTCTTCTTAGCACTCAATGTTAGTAATATTGATTTACTGTGTATAGGATATACATGAATGTAATTTAATAATTGAAAAAATAACTCTACAATAATATTTTGCTATTTGCTTTTTCTTAGATTCAAATTAAAATATCTTTTGAGAATTAAAAATGTGACAAAAAAAAAAACAAAATGAAAGCTAATTGAAACAACGATCAATATAAAATAAGATAATATTTATTTTTCATGAAATACAGTTAATATATGTTTTTCCAATACCATTTATAAATCGGTATTCATAAACTAGGACATAAACATTTGCTTCCATTTTTTTTTATTATTATCACTATTACTATTATTATTATGGAATTGACCGTAACTATGTAGCCGGCTCAATGGTTTAAGAGTATTTCTTTCCAGTGAGACCAGAATGAGCACATTTATTGCTGAAGACTCGAGATTCATTGGAAGTATTGTTTCTTGTCCTAGCGTTTACAACAGTTAACAATATTTTCTTTTGCGTGTCACTCACTCTTTTCAATCTTTTGCGGTCGACAGATGGTATACGGGTACATAAAGTTTTTGTAAATTAACGGGCATAATAGTAAATTACTGTAATATATACAATTTCTATAAATAATAAATATAAGCAACACAATGCTCGTACACACTAGTCCAGAGAAAAGGAGCGTAGTCTTATTCTTGTGCCCATGGACTTATAAAAACGACTTGATATGTTCCCGATATAGTGGCTGTGGACCGCATAGAGTTAAAACGTTCTCTTTATACTTTTGCTTGTATAGACCTGAATGGTATAATCAATTTCAAGATTGGAAAATATATTAGTATATGTACATACAAATACGATACTGTTACATGAATTAATTTTACATTGGTTATCTTGGATTGAACGCGTCACCACGAGTCAATATAAACGATCAGTCGTACGTTGAAAATTATATGGCAACAAGAAATGGTGATATCGTATTTAAAAATCTTTTTTGTAAAATTTACAAATGGTTCGGCTAATTTGTTTCTCATTGATTTTATAAATCCAGAAACATTTCATATAAACACCTATACGCTAAATTACCATCAAACATGTTTTTGTAACATTATCCAAGATAACATGTATTCATTTGTATTTAAAGTTTCTTATATATAGTTATAATTTTCTTTCTTTATAATAAAATGCAATTGCATTATTAATATAACGATGCACGTTAACTCTTTTACAGAAAAATCCTACAGGAAGCAAATCGAAATAAAATACTTTGTGATATGGCAAGAATTGTATTGGAAGATGACGTATTTAAAAATAGGATAAATAACAATTGATCTCAGGCATTCTCGCATACTGTGCTTAGTTTGTTATTAAAATGAAGTTGATAACGCGATACGTACTGAAATTTAAATTCGTCGAGATATACATAGTTGTGAATGAAATAAATGACAAACAATATAGAAGATATAAATGCTGTGCGCATTTAAAAAAACGTATAACATTAATTTTCTTAACGTTAAGAATGAATTATTGACTTAGAATTATTCGATTCTCTTTGAAATTTATTAATCGACGACTACGTTAATGATGTATCACCATCGGAATTTAGTAGCGTCAGATTTTTATCGTAACTCTTAACGTAAAACGACAAGAATTTTCTTTAAAAAATTAAAAAGAATATCATTTGTATGTTAAATTCGTAGCTTGCCTATATTTAACACCTTTCCATGTGAATGATAAGCTTTGGTATTGATTGTGCAATAATTATAATTAAACTATGACTATATTTATATTAAGTGTCTTATAGTATTTCATTTCGATTCTGTGATACAGGACAAACGTGATTGCCCATTTCACTTTCTCGCACGGTTAGAATTACTTTGGTTTGAAAGACATCAGGTACATTTCGACGTTTCAACGTCACTTAATATGATTTGTCAAAGAAGTATATATATATATACACACATATACTTTGCTATCGCTCAGTCTTGTACATTGGTTTATTCAACCAATCGTACTATAGCGGAACAAGTAATTCCCCGCAAGAGCATTCATTTTTTTTTGCACGAAGAACTTTTTGTGATCTTACCTGTATCTTCGTTCCATTCAACTTGAAAAAAGATCTCACAGAGCAAATTGTACTTAAAGAATAGACTGGGTGTATAGACCTTCTAAATTTCTGTAACATACAACTAAAAAATAATATGAAACTTTCGTTCAACATTGTATGTAGAGACATTTAAAAAATTTGAAATGTTGCGAATTTTGTTATTACCTGAGAAATGTGCGATTAAGTTTCACTAATTCAAAATTGACCTTGTTCTTCCATCCCAGTCTAACGTTTAAATACGAGAGATATTGAAAACTTCAGTTCAGCCATTAGAGACAGGAACAATCGTACTGTGATAAACTTTGGTTCATTTAGTATCAGTGGCTGCGACAGAACATCCTTTGTGATTACGAGCAATATTAGAAGAAAATGCAACACTGTGAGCTCTCCGTCGTGAACATTTCTTTGTTGTAGTTGCAGTTGCACTATGTTCTACACAAGGTCTTCTGCTTCTAGTATGTCTCTTCGTCGTTTTTAAGCTGAATGGAACGAATTTTTCTCAATCTCTGTAACGAGATTCTGTCTTGGCGCTTAAAGCATGATCATTTGTAGTGGTATCTCCCAGTCACAATGGTGCCAGGCTTTTACCTCTCTTGGCCAGTCTGATTTCTAGCCATATATAAGGAACCACAGACAGGAGTAGCACGCAAGCAAGGCCAAGTACGCGAAACTGCGTGCAGACTAGCCCATGCAAACCAAGAGTGAGGGCAAGACCGAGCCATCTCCAGAAAAGAGATGTCGACAAAGGTCCTTGCCAAGAATTTGGATACAAACCCAATACTAATGCTAGAAATGAAATTATTTCTTTGTTATTTACCAAAATATGATCATGTCGATGATTGACTGTATTTGAATCAGTAGTATATAATGAGGAAGCAATGATAATTGTTTTCAGTGTATCATAAATGATATGTATGCAACTCACTATATATTAGAGTTTCCCAAATGGAATTGCAAACTCCCCAGGCAGCAGATATAACATGAAAAAGTGCTGGATCATCCCCAGATGGTCTCCATGTGATCAAAACCAGCAGTAAACATGCATGGAATACAAATCCAACAACTTATACAAAAAATGGAATGATTGATTATTATTGAAATTGGAAATTCACTGCATTGAATCTGAAATGTTGTTCGTTAAAAGTTACTCACCTACAACAAAGTATCTTTTAATGTGCCTCAACAACATTGATAATGTCACGCCAGCAAGGGCTTGCAAAGATGCCAGACTTAAGAAACTAAGAGTTACTGTGCCAGCTCCACCCAAAGCACAGACTACATATGCCTTTGAAAAAACATCAATCAAATATTTATTACACCTTAAAACGTTACGTACAAAGGAGGTGAATACTGATATAGTTACAAAAGTTATATAGTGATACTTACTTCTATAAAATCAGCGTAGATAAATCCCTGTTCAAGTCCAATAAAAAGTGTTAACGGTGCCGCCAATTGCAACTTCGGATCCTGAAATGCAGACTTAATAGATGCGAGTATGTTTTGCGCGCTGTGTTTTTCATTCACACTTTGTGGTTCCTTCATTCTGGAGTCGAGGAATGCGCACGATATACTGAATCCTAGGACAGCAAGACCAAGCCATATGCTGACCAATATTTTTGATGTTCCAGATGATAACGTTGGCATGCTAATTGTACCATTGTAAAGATAAATCTCTTCTGGACAATACTCTGCTCCACAGATATCATTCATCTCATTGTTCATCGTACTAACAGGCATCGAATCCGTTAGTTTTACAAGTATGGCAGCAATTAGACAACCTAGTGCGAGACCTATGTCTTCCGCTAATCTGATTCCTCGATTAAGTCTTCTAAGAAGGCATTCCCGTCGTGTCTCATCAGGATCCTCGGGATCAACGCACACTAGAGCTAGACTAGTCGCTGAGGCATTTACATGTGAAACTCGTGCTATGAAACTTGGTGTAACACAGGCACCCAACATTGCATAACTGGGTAATAATATATACCTGTTAATAAAAAGATATACTATGTAGTTATAAACAACAGTTTATACAGTATTAAAGAATGTATAAATATTCTATTAAGACATACCACTTCGGATAAAGATGTACACCGACAAAAATTGTGGTAGCCATGTGAGTGGTGGTTATCGCGAGGTTTGTCCCAAGTCTCTGGAGGATAATTGGAGCAAAACAACTGGTAATCGTTGCTGTTGCATAAAGAAGAGCAAGAAGCATAGGTCCAAGCTGAGGATTGAAGGTGCCAAGACCAGCCTGCAATGGGAACATTGGCAACGTGGCAGCAGAGCAGCTCGCATGTCCTAAGAGAAGAGCAGCACAATGCCTCAAAATTGCCCTTTTCGGTGGTCGAGGACCGGAAGGTGCTGCTCTTACAGCGGCTATTAAGCGACGCACGGACGATGCTCCAGCCGAAGAATTCATCGAGTCTCGTCGACGCCAGGATAAGGCAGATGTTCTCGTAGAACGACAAGAAATGGGTGAATAAGCTGCCATGTGCTACGGATCAAGATCTTTCTTTGAACATTTTGATTGCTGCGATTAATTCTGTTTGATTCGCAAGTAGCGTCAAGTCAAAGTTACTTGAATATTTTCTTTTTAATCATCATATCTGACTCTCCACAAACTAAAAATGGTTCTTAAGTGCATTCACCAATAAATTCATTGCTTTTAAGCTGTTCAATAATTCTAGAAGTCTAGGGCTATAAAAAATGTGACTTCCAAGTCTTATCCAAATATTATACATCGGCACTACCTAGCATAAGGACCCCTCAGACACCTGCTTGTCCTTCCAACCTTTGTTTTCCTGCTCTACTGCATAATGTGATCGCTCAGAAATCCAATAAAAAAAATCCCTGTGAAGTTCGATAAAGAAATTTCTCAAGACTTGCATGTTTTTCTATGAGGACATCTAGTAGTCCTGCAAGCTCAGTTAGTTGTTTTAATAGAATGGCAACAATGTATGAAAATATAAATAAATTATCAAGTATTATTTATTTCTTTTGAAAAATTAATAAAGTTCATGCAATAGAGAATTATCAGAAAGTTAATTATTTAAGTGTGTATTGGATGAAGTGGTATTATTTGTTGGATTGGCTATTGATTGTTACTATACCTCTAACATAGCATCGTTATCCCATAATGCATGGTGGTGACCACTACTTCTAGCACGTCTATGAGTATGTGCTAATGGTGGAGGTTGAGCTGGCAGTCGTATAGGTCCTAAACCACCAATTGGTGCTGGTCTATAAGCAGGGCTCGCGAGTTTGTCCTTTGACAACTCATGAAGATTCGGCAGGGAACCCATGATTCAATTTTTTGCTATCCTTCTTATTTCCTCAATCAGATCTAGCTCCTTAAAGCTGTTCGAACATCTTGCTGATCCTGATCAGAATCATTGCCAAGGTGATTGGTGCCATCATTGTAATTCTCTTGCTCTTTGACTCTCCATTCGTTCATCTGCTGGTTTGTAGTACCTTAAATAAACAAAATCTTGTTTAAGTAAAAATTACATAAAAGTCCTAAAGACACCTGTTGGGACAAAATACTCCATAAATGCATAAAGTTTGCTAATGTCTACCAGAAAAAGAAGTTATACACTCAGGGGCTGTAGCGGTGTTTATAGCTACAAAGCTTAGCAACCCCAAGGTACCCAAGCTAGACGGGGGCCAGTAGGCCCCAATAGATGAGAAGTATTTTAATATTGCAAACAGTATTAAAACAATGCAGGAGTCATGTAAGACGATGATAAGAGGAATAGAAATAAGCTAGTAATCAGTAAGCAGTAGTGTGATAACTTTGTATAATAAGTTACGCACTTTAAATAAACGAACGAAGAAGAAGTTATATTCTAGACTAGTAGATATCATTAATTTGGACTTGTTGCCCTTGTATTTACAATACAAAAATGATTAAAAATACATTTTAATTAGATGTCGGTAGTTAATTATTAGTGGCGCCATCGGTGGCAAAATGCCCAAGTTTGTAGTAAAAATAGTTCTCACCGTTTCTATAAGATGACGCCACCGATACTTTATAATCAATTGTTCTTCATTTTTTGTATAAATGCATAACTAATACGATTCATTGCTTTATAACGCCACAATATATTAGTTAATATGTAAAATTTGTCATTTTTATGAATAATTTCTTAATGCAGCCATAATTATCGACCTTTTAGTAAGCGGTGCCATCTAGCGAAAACAGTGGAAACTATTTTTTACTACAAACTTGGGCGTTTAACCACCGATGGCGCCACTAATAGTCGATTACCGGCATGAAATTAAAATGAATTTTTAATCGTTTTTGTACTATAAATACAAGGCTACAGGTCTAAATCGATGATACATTATATTTAACATTACGTTACAAAACGTATATACGTAAATACTAGCAAAATTAATGATTGCTTACTATGTAGATTGGAAAACGTTCCATCGCTAGATGGCGATACTGTTCGTGTGCAAGTTCAGAGATCACGTGACAGTTCGATCTATATGAATTTATCGAATCGAGTTTCGATAATCGTTCGGATTTACGAAAACGGCGGGTTCGATGCCGGCTCAACGACAGTTTGCGAATGGTAGTGCATAATGTTGTAAAGAAAGTGAATTTTGTGCATCATTTTGCAGTATAAGCGCAATATAGTTACAAGATCTGGTTGGACGGCCTTATGATTACTGTCGATGGATATTACGTTGCTTGGTAAGAATGAAATGTCAAGTAATATGTATATTCAAATGGAGCAAGTAAATCGATGGCGGTAATGGGGTCCTTTCTCGCGTTTTGACGGTAGATAGATCGATCGTTCTTTATTATAATAAGAATAACTAAGTAGTCAGTCGGAAAAAAACGATGTAAAATCAAACGTATGCGTTAGTGAATGCGTCTTCTTGCAAGTTTTTAGAATTGCTACCAGATATTTCAATGTTCTCTTTTCGATCCCTGTGGAAAGAAATTCAAGAATCTATACAGGGTGTCCCAAAAATGTTGTAACACCTTGAAAGGAGTGATTCGGGAGGTGATTTGAAACAACTTTTTCCTTAGCGAAAATGTTGTCCGAGGCGTCGTTGAGGAGATATTAACGGAAAACACTGACCAATCAGAGCGCGAGTATGCCGGTGGAGCGCCCGCGGTAGCGTACGAGAGGGACCACCTAGCGCGTAGCCTACGCTCAATCGGCATCCTCGCGCTCTGATTGGTCAGTGTTTTCTGTTAATATCTCCTTAACGAAGCCTCGGACAACATTTTCGCTAAGAAAAAAGTTGTTTCAAATCACCTCCCGAATCACCTCTTTCAAGGTGTTACAACATTTTTGGAACACTCTGTATTTAGCATTTTTTTCGTAGTAAGAATTGAAGTGATTTGTTCGTTACAAGTGTCTTTATGTTATGAATTCTCAGCTCTTGATCGTTTCAAAATGTCAGTTCAATTAGTATCGTTAGTAACCAATTCTTTTATACTTGTATTATTCTTTAGGGCGACTAAGAGCGCCAGTTTTATAGTCGTATTACATACTCTCCTGACACAAGAGATAATGCGCATGCGCGAGCTGGAAGCAACACTGGCATTACAGGTAGTGGCCATTTTGGCTTCACTACCTCCCTAGGCACCAAAGTAGACAGACACTCGCGAGTTGTTGAGATCAAAATAGAAAGAATGATGAAAATATACGCCAGTAATTGTACCAATCTCAGAGTTAAAAGATTTTAAGTGTCACAAGGAATGGTCGAGGTTTCTGGTCCAAGCATAAATAATTCGTTATTAACGTTTGATCCCTAACATTTCAACTAACCTATTTAGAAAAAGTCTACACGTCAGAAAAGTAATCTTTGATTCTCTCGCGATTATCGATTACGTCCAATGATCAGTCGCTAATCAATTAGTTCACTTATTACAGTTAACCTAATTCTGAGATGAAACGGATCCTACGGTCGTCGCATCGAAAGTCGATGTTCGCTTCGAAACGACCAACAGCTACCAAAGTTTCCACGGATAATTTGTACGAGTCTTGCATAATTTAATTGGCAATCTCGCGCGTCCAATTATGGCAAGAATAAAAAAAAAACGAGAAGATAAAAATCCCGTAGTCACCTACGAAACCTTGAACGAGAACATGCGGCGAAGGAACTGCCAGTATGTATAATGAACGTACTAGCAGTGGCCTTGATATTGGTTTGCGGAAAGGATTTCGACCAATTGCGATGGCGCATCAATCGGCAGCCAGTTGTGCATCGGATATGTAAAATCGATGCAAATAGTGACGTTCGACAGGTCCGACATCGGCTGCTCGTTGTGTAGTATACAGAGTGTCCTATATAAAGCGATACGAGATGTTTTCCTAGATAATTAATGAAGATATCGACTTTACTTCCGTTAGAGTTAAGTTGGACACGAACAGGCTAATCTCTCAGTAAGCGATGCATCTTTAGAGAGTGATCGTTAGGAGGGAAAAGAGGAGAGAAGGGGAGGAATTTAAACAAAGTTTAAATGGAAAGTTGTATTAATCTTTGGTTATTTAGATAGCTCTTATATTACTGAAGAGTATTTGCTAGAATAATTTTTTTTTTTAAATTATGCATAGTTTCTAAGGAAAGAGTTTGTAACGCGTTATATTGGACACCTTGTATACAATGTGATTCTATCTCCAAACGAGTTACGGAAGAACATTTGCTCGAATATTCTTTTTTTCTCGAAATTATTCATTGTTTCTAAGGAAAGAGCTCGTAACGCTTTATACACTGGACACCCTGTACAAAATGTGCTTCCGTCTCCAAACGAGTTCACTACATAGAAAAATTCAATCAGCATATCGTTACGTAATTCGAAGCAATTTTAATTTAAACACTTATTCCGTGGGTATTGAAGTTGATGCCGTCAATTTTAGAAAATAAGAGGGAAATAGGTCTAACAACAAGAATCATAACTTTGTTGTCAAGTAAACTCTACCAAGGGTATTCTGTTTTTTTTTTTTTAATTTTTTAAATGGAATAATAATCTACCATTACTATATAAAAAAAAAAAAAATGACTGCGGGAGCTATGAAAACAAACGAACGAACGCGAAACAATAGCAAGTACAGTCATATACTTCGCGGAATGTGTACGGACTACTATCATTATTTCTGACACTGAATCTACGCAAACGGCACGTTGCGAGCATAAAAACGATGAAAAGTTCGACAACCTTTTGTTTACATTAGTTGCGGTAAACAATTGGATACACTAGAAGTGACGTTTTATTGTGATAATTGAAACAAAATTATACATAGTAAGTACCGTATATACATATGTATTGTTTATTAGCAATATGTTTTCTTTATTTTCCATGTCTTGGAAAGTGCTGTTTATGTCTTGGCAGTACGCGCAACAAAATAAGGTCGGTATTGATACTAAAGAATAAAATCTGAAATACCTGTCGCGTGATTATAAATTCTAAAAGGTTGCTTATTATTTGTTTTAATTAAAATTCAAATATCTTTCCAGTGAAATTGATCTCGGAGCTCGGAGACGAGGTTCGCCATGAGGTTCAAGAGAAAAGCAGAAACTTACTTGTAAAGAAGACCCGTGCTGCACCGTCGACCAAAATTCGTCATGGTTCCCTGTACAAAGCAGCAGCTGAACTGTCCGTGGAAATCATCGTCGAGTCATCACGAAGTACGGAGAGGAACACCCAGCATCGACATTTTACGCGTACAAGAAACGAACCATAGAAAACACTACTTTATAAAACACACGTGTACGCACACTCGCGTCTGTTCAGGTTGTACACCTTCTACCGAAACGATCGCAACAGTTACAGAGCTGAAAGGTTTCAAGTGTCCAAAGAAGTCGGCGAGGAGCGGTTTCCGTTCGAAAGCATCGACGATACATTTACGTCACTGTCACCCTTATTCATAATATATATTTAGATCACCTGGGCTCCTTCGTCGCGTATCGTTATGGTGATCGATAACCACGTTTAACGGGAAACCGCAACAGAGACCGAACACATGAAGCGTACAGGAGAACCGACACGTCTGCGATATTCAAGTATCAAAATATTTGCCACAATTTACAATGGAATCTCTGTATCTTTAAAATGGCGCATTATCGTTTCGCGGTTGTCTGGCGATTTTCACCGCGATCCCTTTCACATAAATTAGTAACAATTTAATGGTTTTTAGAGGATGGTCGATCGAGTCCTAAAGAAATTACAACGCGACCTCTCGGAGTTGGCACACGCGAACGTTTGCGTCCATTTGGGCGGTTCAGTCTCCCAGAGGGCAAGGAATTGTTTAACAACAAACTGGCGATCCTTTAAGAGTCGCGAGGGGTTGCGGTGACCGTCCAGGACCCGACGAAAGTACAACACCGAGCGCGACTTTTCCATCGGCTGGACTCGGCCTTCCTCGGCGCCACTCGTTCGCTCTTAGTTCCACTCCTCTTGGTATGGTCGATAACAAGGAGAGTGCGTACTGCATCCTCGTTTCTCGATTTCGGTGAATCTTGGTCGCGCACGCAAGTGGAATGAACGCGAGGGGATTCACCGTTTCTTTTAGAAGAGATTCGTGGAGTAGTTCTCAGTTGAATCGAGCCGTTCGCTGCGGATAGGGCGAACAGAAAGTTGAGATGGTCCATTTAAAGGGGACACCACTTTGAAGGACTGAACAATTGCTAATCTATGTAATTTTTTTTTTAAATTAATTAATTATCTTTTGATTGAAGGAATGGATATGCTATTAACGAAACATTAAACTATAATTATACAACTTTTTATTGAAAAATATGTTCAACAAGAATATGTTGAACAAGAAACAATACAAAGGCTCGATTCTTATTGGTTCACCTGTCTTCGCTCGTGTTGTATCATTAAGGTTGCTATATCACGGTAACATAATTCAAGGAGAGTCTACAGACTGTTTATTACATATCACACAGTTAAACACCAGACATGGGAATGGTGGTTAAGTATGTCAATGTTGCGACGATAGTGCAACGAGTGCAATCATTACGTATCTTTTCGAACGCTGGTTCGTTCACCTCGCACTCGGACATCAAACAGTTTCCCCTTTCCTAGGAGATTAATTGTTATCCTCCAAGGACTGTTAATATGCAATAATAAAAGTACGTGTATAGGCTATCTCTCACGAATCTAACTTTGTGATTTTAATTGTCGCGGCTATATTCTCTACAATTTTTAAAAAATAATTCAATGTTTCTTTAAACTGAAATGTCATTCTCATCGGCCAGTTCAATAGCTATAATTTTTTGAAAAAGAGATAGGACGAACCATTGACCAGTTGCCAAACTGACAATTTTCGAAACTTTTAAAAATCCAATTAGGTACTTCCTGATGTCACTAATGATTGCAACATATGCAAATTTCATCGAAATTCAAGATCGTACCCCCCCCCCCCTCCCCCCAAAAAAAGTGTTCGAATCCGCGTAGGAATGAACAGATTACTTTCCAATTTATTTAGATTTCGAATACCCGCTGTTGAATCTACTAATGTCAATAGTCTCTCGTTTTTCAGAAAGCATAGCGGAAAAAGACGGAGCCGATTAACAAAGAGGACCTTGAAAATCGAAGATCAAGAGTATTCCATACCCCCACCACGCCTTAGTTGATACTTAGGCGAGAGTAGCAACCTGTGAACGCAGTGGCTGTTGGTGCCCCTTCCTAGATGGAGTCCGGGGAAGGTCCAATCCTTGGACACTTTCATATAAATGAAGGTTGATCGCTGCCTCGTTCCGCATTTAACGCTCCATCCCTCGTACCTGAAGGGATCGGTGCACACATAATCACACACATACACGCATCCGTATTCAAACGTTTCTCCTGTTCCATCCCAAGTGTACCGTGCATCGAATTTCTAGTGATTCCTAGCAGCCCTCGAATTTTTTAAGAGCAACAGGAACTGATAAGAGACTACTAGATAACGTAAGTGATTATTGCTTGAATATGTCGACCGTATGGTTAAATATAGTTATAAATAATAGGCGAAACTTGAATAGCGTTTCGAGTTGAATTTCATTTCGTTAGGACGTCTTCTTATTTTTGTGAATAGTTCAGTTGGGATGGGTCCTGAAATTATATGAAAGATTTGGCAGGATAATGTCATCAGGAGTGGTTGTAACTTTGTTTAATTATATACTTTTTGATTTATTGTGGAGTTCGCATTAAGAGACAGGAATTATTAATATTCGTACAATTATTGATCATAGTAAACAATTATAGGATTTAATTATTGTGATTGATATGAAGCTTGGTTAAATTCTAAATTTCCTTTTTTTTTTTATTGGGGAATTTGCATTAAGGGAGACATTTTTAATATTCATGCAATTATTAATCATAGTATTCGAAATTATAGTTTCATTATAGTGAGTGATGATCGTAGAGGAATTTTTGCAATTGAAAGCTTCTTTCGCCAAAGCCTTCTCTAAAAGCATAATAATTATTAAAAAAAAGGAGCAATCAAAAGATTTCTCAATAATTATCATACTCCAAGCGATCGAGACGTTGACCAAACAAATGTTTACTCGCAACGAGCCATTGGTCAACAAATCATACATTCACATGCTAATTGTTATTAAAGAAAAGGGAAATGGAGCAGAAAGAATAAATTAAATCTAATCGAAAGAATAAATTATAAAACAACATTCACTCGAAGGAAATGAGAATTGTCTGCATAAAAGGTCTCGTGTAGAGTCCAAGCAGTAATTTATGCAAAGTGCAATTTAATTGAACACTAAAATGTATCTAGGATCGCACTTTACTCTAAGGAACTATTTATAGCGACACAAACGAGCAGGGATAAAAATTCCTGTTTCATAAAATTATATTCACTCTTAGATGAGAGATTATTCTGAGAAACTGTCAGGGAAGTAACGATATACAGGCAGTCTCGAGGTGAACGTACAATAGTTAATAAATAATAATTAAAGGAAACACAGGAGAGTTTTATTTCGAATTAGGGCTGTAGTGGTAGTAAACAATGTTTGTTAATATTTGCATACTAGGTATTGAGTTTAATTACAATCTTATATCGAGTTACAAACTAACGATATATAGGGTGTCTCGAAATGAAAGTGAAACAGTTAATGAATAATAATTAATAGAAATGCAAGGGGAATATTTAAAAATATATAGAAAGAAGAAACTTAGAATTCAGAACAGAATATTTCTAACTAAAATAAGGTTAACACTGAATAGTAGGAAATGAGAATAGATTTGGGGAAATATAGAAAAGGAAAATTCAGAATTTAGAATAAAAAATTCCTGACTAGAATAAGATAATACATGAAATACATTTCATGAATAGAAGAATCCTTTCTACACATTCGTCAAATACAATCTTGTATTCCCACGCAATGTAAAATTTGCAAATTAGGCAATTGTTCGATTGCACGAGGTTTCGTAAATAAATCACTTTGATGAAAAACGCGTCAATGACGATTACAATAAGCGATCGCGGAATTGTAAGATTCCCTAATGGAGCACGTGGCTTGGACGATTACGAGCCCGTTTTCATTCCGGAACTCATTCCATACGTACAGCTCACGGGTGTCTCGTGAAAATGATTTTCGTCTCGAGTATTCAGCTTGACCGTGTATCGAATAATTTATAAGGATATGTGTCTCGACATCTGCGCCGATAAGCGATCGCCGCAGCCCGGATGGAGACTTGAGATATTGCAGTGTTGTTTTGCATTATTTGCGCAACACGGGTTACGAAAGTGTAAACAGATATAACTGTGTACAATTGCTGGCATGAGCTATCAAAAGTCGGCGCGGCAGTGCGCTTGATATCTTTTAACGAGGCGCTGGGAAATATCCTCTGAAATGCACCGTGATTGATAATGATAACCGAACGGTAGGGCAATTAAATCGGGAGCAGGGTACCTGAAATTATTTGCAACAACGTAACGGGACAGGGAACAAATTTTTATTTAATGTGGATATTTTATGATCGGCTGTGGAAATTAACCGGTTTGTGTAATTAGAGAATTAGCTAGACGTTTTGCGTCCTTTGGTAATTATTTATATTATTTATGGAATGTTTGATAGGGGAAAGGAGGTGAGAATCGCGCAAAATGGAAAGAGGAACGTTAAAACATATGTCAAGCGATTGTTATGTTTCGGGAGAGTGCGAGATAGGAGAAGAAACAATTCGTCTACGAGAAATGTTCGTTTCGAGGGGAGACATCCAAATGGAAAAAACTTTAAAACTTTAATACGCAAAATGCAAAAACTCATAGGGGCAAATTGAGGTACTTTTTTTGTGGAGAATCCAAATCTGCAATAAAACATGGGGGTTCTTATTAAAAATGTTTATCTTCCCTCACCCCAACCCCCCAAGGGAGTAAAGGCGAGGGTCGAGTTAGGTATCACTGGATGTCCGGCTTCGAAACGAACAACTTTCGTTACCCACTTTTTTTTTTTATCCGACCCATAATTTTCGAGATATTTCAATGTCTTCAGATAGATCGTCCACTCCGTATATTAGCTCCTTTCATTTTAAGGGGCGCGAGTGTTTTTAAATTGAAAATGAATGAATAAATACAGGTTTCCTTTCGTAATCGATTTAGAACTGCACGTGTTCTATACGACCAGTGTTCATTTTTTAATCAAGTTAATATTCATGTAGCAAAGTCAAAATCAAACACGATGTACCTTGAAATGCGTTCAAGTATTTTACCTCAGCTGCATAAACGTAGCGATAACCATCGTTTCATTAGTAATGAGGAATGGAAGGTGTCGACTCGGCTGACTAATTGAGAGGCCCGGTACTCCGTGTCCAATCAGAATTCCAGCTGTCGAGTATACACCCATAAGGCTCGTTCAGCCTTCGATTTAATATCAGTCAGTAATTATAGAAACCTGTACTGCACACGAAACACACCTTTGTCATCGATGTTGCACTCGTTTTGCATCCCGAGATATCCTTCGCAATGACACAGCTAATAAAAGAGGAATTAACGCGATCGTCACGTGCGTTAGATGTTGATTTATCTCTTTATCCTGGTGGCTAATCAATACGGAAACCGTCGAACCAGTCGATCAACCTTTTCTTTGTAAAACGATGAAGATTAAACGGAAATTAGAGGTGGATCGGTCAGTATTTTTGGTGGTGAATATGAAAACAGGGAAGGAAGTACCTTCTAACTTTCGAGAGGACAGGACGAACAAAATTTATTTAAAAGAATCGTTTACTTAGAAAATTCTGACTAGCGCACTCCCTTAACACGTTGGTCGCCGTGTCACCCACATGTGGGCGACAGTGCTTTCCACTGAAGAACTAAAGAAATTAATTTCGAATGTGAAGGAATGAATGAAGAAATGAATGTAAACGAAATTCATGAATTTTGATGAAATTACAAGAATAAATACGACGACAAATTTTTGATTATGCAGTCTCCAATAGTTTAAATAATATTTCATTTTAGTAGAAACTTTAAAGAATATTTGTCTGGCAGTGTTAACGATGAGTCTGGAATGTTTATATTGGGTTGTCCGAAAAGTCCATGCCGATTTTTGATGGGTGGTGCGGGTCTGAATATGTCGAAATGGCTGAAAACAAATAACATGTACATGTACGTCCCTTAAAAGTTGGAAAGGTTGTGGAACAAAATGGCACCTATGTAATTCAATAAATATATATATATATATATATATATATATATATATATATTTATTGAATTGTTTTATATATATATATATAAAACAATTCAAATGTGCCTTTGAGGTTTTCTTAAAAGTTGCCACGAACTTTCTGAACGACCTAATATATTAATGTTTGTATACTCCATATATTCCATTTATATATGGATTATTATTATCAAAAAACAAAATTTTTAAACCCTTTTAGAAAAAACCTTCGTAGTAGGTACGCGTTAATAATCAGTAGTTTTAACACAGATGATTTTTCACTTATGCACCTGACATGAAGACTAACGAAGATCGATCTTGATTTATCAAAAATGATAATCAATCTTCACCATCCTGAAGATCGATAGAAGCTCAATTAGCATATTTCATTCGACGTATCATTTTCGCTAAATAAACAAACCACGAAACCGCTTATTATTTCAATCATCACGAAAAGCTCAGGAAGATACGAATTATAAACTAATCTTGGCTTATTAATTTCACGATTGAGCTTCCCACGCGAGGAAATTTCACACGGCATCGATCACGCTTAATCCCTCGCGATCCTACGTACGGATGGTCCGCGACGAAAGTGCATCGAAATCTGCAAAATAGAAAAAAAAAAAAAATCGTTTCTTGCTAATCTCGACGGATTCGACGATAAAATTCATGAGGTTTATTCCTGCCATCTTGGTATTTATTCGATTAATTCTTTTTTTTTTTCCCTCGTGTGCACGCGGATAATTTACCTAGTAACGATGTACGAAACGATACTATCTCTCCATCTTCTTATTTTGTGCGCGGGATAGAATAGAACGTATTAGTGTATCGACTGATCGGTATGTTTAATTGGCGTGAAGCAAATGGGATTACGAATAATAGTGGCTCGAACGAAACTTGGATCTACGCGATCGCAGATGCTCCACGAAACCGAGTAATTAAAGAGCGAACTACGTGCGCGCAAATACGATTTCACGCGAAGTTATAAATTGATAGAGAGAAAAAATAATGAGCATTTGGACAGGCTCTTTTTTGTGTCCTTATGTAAGCTTTCGGCGACTATGACTTCGCAAATTACGATAAGTGTTATAATGAAGCGTGTTGTGGCTTCGGTATCGATTTGGTATTATCTAAGTATTTGCTTTATTACATTATTAGGAATATAGTAGACGTTTACTGTAGGTCAACAATGGGATCACAAATTATATTAAACGTTAGAAAGTAGCGTATCGTCAGTTTGAAATCAATTTAGTACTATTTAGTTATTCAATCTTCTGTGTTATTGGAAATCCAGTGAACGTTTACTGTACAATGACTTTGCAAATTATTCTGATTTTTTTTTTTTTTTTCTTTGCTCTCTTATTAACGATGATTTTGCATCGAAACATTTTCTCGTTGTGGATCTCAAGAAACCCTACAAAAAACGTGTAGAAAGTTTCTCTGCGAAGTGAAAACTCAATTTTTCAAAAATATAAGAACAATTCGTTTAAGAATTTAAGGGTAAAGCTCGCGTCGATGGAGCGTAGATCGCTGTATATTCATACAAATGCAAATGTTAAATACTATCCGCGGATCGGAATTTGTTATTCATCGGAGTCGGTTTTTGCTAAATCACAGCCAACCCCACCCAGCGATTTGCGCAAATGGTGAGCGAACCTTGAGGCTGGTTGCGCGTTTAATGGAAAGATGAAATAATAATTGAAAAAAAAAAAAAAAAAAAAAAGAACAGGCGTGCGTACTCTAAATGTTTCGTGTCCTTATAGCGATCTCGTAGAACGGATTGTTCGTACGCAAAGACGGGAAAAAAAAATTACGTGTCAAGTTGACTCCCAGGATTCGCAAAAACGACGACCTTGAATCGTTTATCGTTGAGCGAAGCGCGCAAATCTGCTATTACACGTTATGTGCTCAGTTTGCGCGAAAACGCGGACGATTACTGATTTTCATTCCACTTTGCAATCTCTTATGGATATCCACACGCGTATTTAATTACCGTGACCGATCGATTCCTTTGACTTATACGAGAAATAATAGTCGAGGGGGATCGCTCGCGTGGAAATTCAGTAGCAGTAATTTTCTCGATAAACATTTCAAGATAGCTACTCATTTGTGATTCGCGAAAAACAAATTTGTAATGCAATTTTGAAAGCGAATCTTGGAAGAAAATAATTCTATCACAAAATCCATACCGTATGAAAATATCGATTTGGATAGCTTCGTTCTTGGAAAGAGTTATTTTAATTTCGAGGAGGGATGTGAAAATCGACTAACAACAATTTTCTATATAAAATTTTCAAGTTTGTATTATCCAGAAAATTATATCTACTTGCACCCTCGTTGCGCAGATGCTGCTCGCTGCTATCCACCTCTCCAGACTCTCTTCAGCATCCACTGGTAGTGCTCAAGCCTCGGTTTCTCACATAAACAAATCATCTCTTCATCTGCTCTCTATCATAAAACCATAAATTTGTAAGAACTCTATAAATTTTTAATTTTAAAAAAAGTAGCACGTTCCGTAAGTGGTAATTGGGTTCTACAGCACATCGAGGAAATTTAAATCGTCCCACCTTCTCGAATAAGGATCCACTCCGAAACGTTTCTCGATTAAAGATCTCGTCCTTCTCTGCGAGTAACGATCCATCGCCGTCTCGTGGATTTGTAGCTGACCCGTCCCACCGCTGTCGCGAATAATAGAATTAACATTATTAAAACGATAATTTCAGTTCCGTTTCAATGATTTTGGTTCAAGGTGACCGAGTCATGCACGCGCGTTACAGTCCTATGTAAATGCTCACAGACGTTTCTACATTTGCCACTCGTTACAACGTAACAATTGGTGTTTTAGGTTTCAACTCGTTCTCCTCATCCTCCACAGGCGCACAACAGTCATTTACAGCGTAACCGCTATATATAGAATGTCCTGTAACGAGTGACTGGCACATCACCTATGGATTTACCACTTAAATCAAGTAATATAATCAAATTCTGTTCGTCTGAGTAATACTACTACAAGTATTCGTTAGTAATACCAGTTCATTCTTATTTATCTTCTATATTTTGGTCATGTTTGGGCACCAATCATAATCTACACGCAATCAGGTTTAAATAATATAAATAGAGAAGTAAATGTAACAAGCTACAACTTTATTATCAGTACATGTACA